ATGTGTGTCATACACCTTTTAGTGCGGCTTTTTGCAACTAAATAATTAAAGTGCAAGTTATATTGTAAAACCCTATGTCATCATTATACTAATATTTCTCCTTTCCAATGTTAAATAGAAGCGTACGCCTCTGTCAAAACTTATAATAATGTAAAACTGCTTACTAAGCAGTACTGCACTGGAAAAATACCATTGTATCAAGGTTTTTGAAACCATCAGCAGTATTTTATTATATATACCGCGCACAGAGCTTCTGGAGCTCATTCTATTATATTGTTGCCAGACTATAGTAATTAGAATCAGGTTCATTTATTTTCGACTTTTACGTCGTAGCAATTTGATCCACATATTTTCTTTTGTCACCATTGTATTTTAATTAATAAAATAAATGTTTTCTAAAAATACAAGTTTCTGAATCGAAAATATAATTTGCGTTTTGCTAAAGATACATAACAATCGTTTTTAGCTAAGAGTCTTGCTATGCTGTCGCCCATATTTTTAACCCTGATTTACAGTCCGTTAACTTTTCCCCAATAAAAAAAAAATAAGGTTTCATTCCTTCACAAATTTTCAAGCTATTATCCAGCATCATTTCAAAACCAACAAGGGACAAAATCTCATTAAATAATACCTACAAAAATGGTTCATGGAATCGAGTAAAACCTGATTTCTTTGAGGGGATTCTCCGTTTTACTGAATAAATATTACTTGAAAAACATTCGGGCGTCTGTCAAAGAAAAACTTTGGAAAAAAATACCTTATTGTATGTTTTTTTCGGGGGAAATATTCGTTAAATGATTTTTTATATTAAGTCCAAGGCAAAATTAATTTTAGTTGAATTTTTACTTGAAGAAATATTAGGTATATTATATTATACAGGGTGGTCCTCCGGGAATGACATCGATTGCTTATGGGAAAACTGTGAAAGGTAAAAATTTGAAAATTTGGCAACATAGCAATGTCGATGGGGGACATCCAGGTAAAATATTTTCAAGATGGCGGCATTTCCGGTCATACCGGAAGTTGATACCAACTCGGTTATTTTAAAGAGAACACCCCGTATATTAATGTATTTTTGGATTCTAAAGAAAATTCTAAATACATTTCATGTACGATGTCCTATACCTAAGTCTAACCGTTTTTGACATATTTAAGTTTTTATGTAAAAAATTACGTTTGCAGACCCTAAAATAATTGTCAATTTTTCCTATAAGGAAGCCTTTATTCCTTGATTGAACCTTGATTCCTTGTTGAAAAGAACCTATTTTATTAGATTTTCATTATGTTTTGATAACTTTTAATACAGGGTGCTTAAAAAATAAGATTAAAAATAAAGTTGAGAAAACTTCCAAAAATCAATTTTTTCAAATGGGAACCCCAAAATTTTATAATTTTATCTTGTTAAGCATTAAAAATAAAGGTAAGTTTGTGTAAGGTTATCTATTCCGATAATGTTTAGTTTTCGAAATATTGCCAATTTAATATTTTTATATGGCGATTTTGCTCTAAAAATAATAACTGAACGCACCCTTGCGCATGACAGAATGTCAAGCAGAACGTGCATGTCCTTGTCACAAAAATTGAAATAATTTTCGATAATAATCATGCCGGGAAGATTAAATTATACAAATGAAGATTATTTAAATTTATTTATTATTTATGGAGAATGTAATAAAGTTATTTCAAGAACATGTGATACATTTGCGAACCGATATCCGCAGAAACAGAAACCAAGTGAAAAAACTGTTAGAAGAATTTTAGAAAACTTCAAGAACATTGGATCTGTCAAAGCTAAAGTACATAGAAATAAACCAGTTGTTAACAATGAAAATATTGAAATCGCAATTTTGGGATATTTTGCCGTAAATCCAACAATATCTACAAGGCAAGTAGCATTAGAATCAGGATTATCTAAAACATCAGTTCTAAGAATTTTATGGAAACATTAGTTTCATCCATACGCATTATCTACAGTACAACATTTAAAAGAGACTGATTTTCCAAGAAGAGTGGAGTTCTGTGATTTCATGTTAATTCGGTCACAAGAAAATGCGTTTTTTTTGGATAATATTATTTGGTCGGACGAAGCTAAATTCACAAAAAAACGGGATGTTCAATCGACACAATTCGCATTATTGGAGCGACTCAAACCTACATCTATTTAGAGAATTAAATTTTCAAGAATTGTGGCAGTTTAACGTTTATTGTGCCATAAGAATTGACGGGGTCGTGGCACTAGAATTCTATCAAGAAAATCTAAATGGTGAGCTATAGTATTACCAAAATCACTTGGAACAAGGTAAAAGTAGATCATAACTGGTGGCAGACTAGTGGCAGTACATTTCTTATGAGAATGTTCAGTGACCAGTCAGCCACCAGTTGTTACCTTGTTCCAAGTGACTTTGGAAAAACTATACCTATTTTTGATGCCTTCTAGACATAAAATCCATTCTTTCACTTATAGGTGAGCGCTATCTCAACATCATTAGAAATTTTGAAGTCAACTATTTAGACAACTTGCCACTAGCCGACCGTAGAAATCTATTTTATCAGCATGATGGGGCGCCTCCACATAATGGTCATTTAGTCAACAACCATTTGCAAAACTTGTTTTATGATCAATGGATAGCCAACGATGGGCCACATCTTTGGCCACCTCGCTCCCCCGACCTAACAGTACTCGACTTTTTCATTTGGGGAACAGTCAAAAATAGAGTTTATAACACCGCATTAACCACCATGGAAGACTGCAAGCGGCAAGTCAGAACAGCATTTGAAGGCCTTAATCGTCAGTCAATAAGAAGAGCCACCCATGAAGAATTCCGTCGTAGGTGCGAAAAATGTCTCGAAGTTCAAGGCCATCAATTTGAACATTTATTAAAATAATTTTTGTAACTTTTTTCATTGTTAACAACTGGTTTATTTCTATGTACTTTAGCTTTGACGGATCCAAAGTTCTTGAAGTTTTCTAAAATTCTTTTAACAGTTTTTTCACTTGGTTTGTGTTTCTGCGAATATCGGTTCGCAAATGTATCACATGTTCTTGAAATAACCTTATTACACTCTCCATAAATAATAAATAAATTTAAATAATCTTCATTTGTATAATTTAATCTTCCCGGCATGATTATTATCGAAAATTATTTCAATTTTTGTGACAAGGACATGCACGTTCTGCTTGACATTCTGTCATGCGCAAGGGTGCGTTCAGTTATTATTTTTAGAGCAAAATCGCCATATAAAAATATTACGGCAATATTTCGAAAACTAAACATTTTCGGAATAGATAACCTTACACAAACTTACCTTTATTTTTAATGCTTAACAAGATGAAATTATAAAATTTTGGGGTTTCCATTTGAAAAAATTGATTTTTGGAAATTTTCTCAACTTTATTTTTAATCTTATTTTTTAAGCACCCTGTATTAAAAGTTATCAAAACATAATGAAAATCTAATAAAATAGGTCCTTTTCAACAAGGAATCAAGGTTCAATCAAAGAATAAAGGCTTCCTTATAGGAAAAATTGACAATTATTTTAGGGTCTGCAAACGTAATTTTTTACATAAAAACTTAAATATGTCAAAAACGGTTAGACTTAGGTATAGGACATCGTACATGAAATATATTTAGAATTTTCCTTAGAATCCAAAAATACATTAATATACGGGGTGTTCTCTTTAAAATAACCGAGTTGGTATCAACTTCCGGTATGACCGGAAATGCCGCCATCTTGAAAATATTTTACCTGGATGTCCCCCATCGACATTGCTATGTTGCCAAATTTTCAAATTTTTACCTTGCACAGTTTTCCCATAAGCAATCGATGTCATTCCCGGAGGACCACCCTGTATAGGGTGGGCTTAAAAAAACGGAATTTTGTTTTTGAGCTGTAACTTTTTTTTTATTGAGGAATTTCCTTTTGTTTTGACTTGTTTGAAAGAGAATTGAACAGGCTAACGAATAAAAGTGAGACTTTTGACATTTGAGAAAAATTAAAAATGCCGGACTTCTTCATAAATTACCTTACTTTGGATAGCGCTGGAACTTTTTTGTGACATCCTGTAGCGCTTTTTCTGATAAATTTTAAAGTTCATCATTTCGCGAACGTTTTAAGACTTTGATAGGAAAAATCGGTTGAGAACTAAGTGAAATATTGAAATTTTTGTAATATCGAATATCACGGTAATTTTTTTCGAAGAAGAAGTCCGCCATTTTGAATTTTTCCCAAATTTCAAAAGTATCACTTTGATTCGTTAGCCTGTTCAATTTTCCTCCAAATAAGCCAAAACATAAGGAAATTAGTTTACAACAAAAAAAGTTACAGCTCAAAAACAAAATTCCGGTTTTTTGAGCCCACCCTATATATACAGAGTGGCGGCCATTTTAATCGGACCACCAGGATACATCTGGAGGTGCGGGACATTTATTTTCAAAATTCTTAATTTTCACGTCGAAACGGGTCGTTTTTGGGTTTTGCTTTGTAGGACTTCGAAGAGAGGAAGCCACACGCCATTCCAGGTCTATATCTTTCTCATCGTGTGGATCTCCTCCTGTTTCTCTGAGTTGACGTGCTTCCGCTTAGATTGCACTGACGAAGGCATTACAAGCTCGAAACCGGTCTACAATTAGCGTCAGTACCCAATTATTGAGAATTCGCGTTACTCCATTGTCTTATAAAGCAAAACCGCACGTATTACATAAATCTGACCGTGTCACAGTCAGAGCAATACAAACTGATTGTATGAGTGATTAGCAGTGCGTTGGAGCTTTGGCTGAACACTTGTGTTTTCCCATAGATATTTTCCAACCACTTTTTTTGTATTATTGAAGTTATTCTGAGTTAATATATACCGAAGCATATAGAAATTCCCTATAGTTGCACAGAAAATCCACCAAATAATAAATAGCATAGATTTTTATATCTGTGATGCCTAGAAGAATATGGCGAATAACTAACTAAATGGAAACCCTATATATTAACAAATTCTATCATTTCAGGTGCTGGATCAAGGATTTCCGATACGACATTATCCAGCAAGTGCCAGTAGCAGCAACAATTGGTCTAAATCTAGTGTTCCTTATCAATATAGTACGAGTGGTAGTGATAAAATTACGAAGGGGACCCGCGAATGATGGTCAGGGTGGAGGTGCCTCAAGATCCACGCTACAAGCATTAAGGTAAAATAATCATTAAGGATAGGTAATCAATATTAGTTTGATAAAAGGAAACATTTGAATTGTTTTTTCAAGCGACATTCTGTTTTCAATTAGAAGATTAGGGCTGCAGATGGCTCTCTAATTAGATAAATTTTTCAGTTATTTAATTACAGCGTCTCGTTATAAAGTAAAGTCCTTGTAAAATAATTTTAATTAACCATTAGATGGAAGTCTACAATTTTTTTTCTGCTATAGTAATTTGGATAATGCACAAAACAATAATCAAATTTTCCTCGACTGTGTTGAATTTTTTAAATGTTTTTTTTTTTATGTATATTATATATTATCAACAACTTCCAATGCAACTACAGTTTCCATAGGTACATTTGTCAAATCAGGAATTAGATGAAAAAAAAACACTCTTTCTTGTTTATTGATACCAGATATCTAGGGAGTTTGAATAAAGCAGGAATCAAATTAGTAACCGACTGACTATCATCCCCAGGGTATACACTTACTAGAGATCCTTTTGGGATTTACTGCTACGTTACCGTAGAATAGGGAACGGAGGTAATTCAATAAAGTATGGATAAGGATGAGATTGAAGGACATATTTGCCTCCAATTATTTTAAGATGCAATACACATTATTACATTGAGTAATTTACTTTTACAAATCATTAACACGCATTGCTTTTGTGGAATTTGCCTTCATCAGCATGGCTGCCCTATGGTCAAACTAAACATCAAATCAGTAGTTTGAATGTATAATTAATCACACTTTGTAATAGATAGATACATAGGTGCATAGGCGTTATATTTCACACAATATAGAAGCTTTTAAATAAAATGCTGAGACAACTCAGCGACGTGGATTTTCAATACTGACCCAAGCAAGTCTATTCAAGTTACTAGAACGCTATATTGGAAAGTGCAGGTCCTAAATCAAGGGGCTGACAGATTTATGGGAAATCTCGTTGCACCGACCAGACATTATATGCTAATGCTTATAGATTTATTATATATTTACCTGGAAAGTGACGTATTTTTTATGAATTTCATTCAATTATTTATTGTAGTGAAAGTACACAGATATAATTAATATTAATTTTATAACACATATTGAGAACATGTTCAGGCCTCAGGAAATTTAAACTCAAATAAAAATAGCAATAAGACACAATTTCTGATTGGCAACATTTGGATCTAAACGACATGAGGCACAGTGGAACGAATGCACAAGCGTAGAATGATAATTTAAGGTGGGCTTACTCTTAATGCATAATGCACAATTTTAATTCATAATGGATAATTTATGAATCTTCACATTTAAATACACCCGTTTATACAACGCATAGACGTGGATAGTGGATAATTTAGTGTATAATGCGTAATTCATAAAGTTGGCTAACTTTTAACTTTTCCGAATAATCCATTATGCATTATGCAAAAAACGCTAGAGCGCAAGCGTAATTAATTTAAAAATCATTTTACAAATTATTATCCTTATATTTCTACTTTTTCATATATTTTACATCTAATATTCTAATATTTTTCTAAAACACCCAGCCAGTCAGCCTATACATATATTATCCTCAATTATTAGTGTCTGAAGAAGGTATTGAAATTATACCGAAAGCTTTCACAAGTAAAAAGAGTCTTTTTTTAATGCCTAAGAAAATCTAGAAAATTTCAAAAATTGGCTGCAACCTCATCAATTTCAAGTTTTCATTAAATCATCATACAGCCGTAAAACTATCAAGCTATTTTTTTTCAAATGTAGATTTCAGAATCACTTAGAATTAATTAAACACTGATTAAAAATTTTATTTAGTTGTTTTTTTTTTGTATCACCTGGGTTTCGAGTTGATTGAGTTATTTTGGTACGTCAATTTTTTTTATGTATAAAATTCAGTGGCGTCGTAATCAGGCTGTATGCACAATTGACCCACACCTAGTTATTTGCTGAGCTAACTGACATATTGTGGGCTTCTTGTTAATTCGTTAACAAAAGGGGTTACATAAATTAGCGCCCAACTCGAGGGGCCGATTAATAGCATCATTAAATATTATACAGTTTGGTAAAATTTTATCTTTTCTTTTCGTATAACTCGACACTAGAAATTAGGTATACCAAAATTACGTAAACAAGTCCAAAATGATTAACTACTTGACTTTGGATGTACCGGTATTACTTGGGTGATTTTGAATTAATTTATCTTGACAGTAACAGTTTCCTATATCTTTAATTAATAATTTACCGAACAAAATTCAATGGATACTCTCTTCACCTACATATCGATTCTTGATATTTGCCCTAGAAGTTTAATTTTAAATTTCTTTTATAATCCCGAACTAATTTTCTTTTGAAATAATATAGGTAGCGACTAGTACTTCCTAGCGATCCCGGCTATGGATAGACTGTTCAGGAACACAGCGCTCCTGCCTTCGCGAGCTCTTGATTTGACTCATTTCCCATTTCGAGGAAAATCTTGTCCTTACCCATAATTCCATACAACTACCCCTATCAAAATCCTTAATCTTTAACTTTTATCATTTCCTTTCCTTGACCGTGATTTTCTTAGGAAGACAATTTTTACCTTGTCGCTTGTGGAGTAGTTACACATACAGACATTTTCCGAAGAAAATTTATTTTTGCGTGTCCTCTGAAAGAACATTTTTTTGCCGTTTGAAAGGACAAAATTTACCGTATCGTTTCGAAAAACGAAATTTACCGTGTCTTTTAGACAAAATTTACCGTGTCTTTTGGACAAAATTTACCGTGTCGTTGGGAACAACGATTCTTACCGTGTCTTTAAGAAAGACAATTTTTTGCCGTATTGTTTAAATAGAACGATGTTTACCGTGGTTTTCTTGAGAAGATTGATCATTACCTTTTTGTTCAGAAAGCGATATTGGCCTTATTGCTTGAAAATTAAAGGCAATGCTTATCGTGAATTTTTCAAAGAAAATTTTTCATGCCGTATGTTTTGAAAAAAACAACATTTACCGAGAGTTTCAAAGAGAATAAATCTTTACCTTGTTGCCGCGTCTTATGAGATGACATTTTTTTTGTCGTGAATTCTTGGAGAAAGTTTTCTACCTCATGTCTAAAAAGCGATGCTTACCATGTGTTTTTCTTGTGCCGTGCAGAACTACCCTGCTTCTTCTCGGAAGAGAAAAGAGAAGGATCGAAATTATTTCGTTTTTCCTACATTCCTTTATGAGGACTGTTTGAATGTTTTGTTTTCTTTTACTTTCTTTGTACTTCAACAACAACTTTCGAGTTATTTTGGACGTTTCGGTTCTCTTATTTTCTCTCCATGAAACTCAGAATTTCCTAATCACATAATGTATAATTTGACGTTCTGTTTTGTCACTGTTTAGGTCTTGCCTATACAGTTTTTGCCGTCCGATTCTATCTTTGTTTTGATTTTGAGTATTATTGTATCATCATGGAGATTGGCATAATTTCGTGTGCTTGCGAGGCTAACAGTCAACCAGCACCATTTTTTTAGTTTTCTGTTTTGTTTGAATTTGCTTTGAGTTCTCTAATAACAAACCCTTACCTTATCTTTTTGAGACTTACCTATTCAAATCATCGCATATTTTTGATACCGTAAATATTACCTTTTTGATCTCTTCTGGCAGCGGTCATGATTTTAGATTAGAAGACACTGACCATTATCGTCATGAATTTTTTCTTTAGAATTTTTCTCTGTACTTTTATTTATTACGCATCGTTACCTATCTCTATCTTATCTTTATCTTTAACCTTTTCTTACCTAGCCATTATTTTGCTGTTGCCAAGGCTGTTACCGTTGTGGCCTGAAACAATGGTCTAATACAAACCATAGCATATTGCTTAAACAAATTATTGGTTGCAATATGTTTGTATTAGGGAATGGTTGCGGGCGGAATTGCTTTTCTTCGGTGAATACTTTGCCTTTACCGAAGAACAACCAAAAACCCAAAATTTTGGATTAATTATCCTTGAATCAATTCTCGATTTGACTACTCACTATTGCTCCGGCGTGAAATTATCTCAAGTTTTCCTCTATAAGGGCTGTGCCGACTTCTGTTTTAAGTGATTTCTCTTGTCCGTTGAGGGGAATCAATTGGACAGGCTGCTGCCTACCACCTTATTGACACAGGCTTGGTGGGAGGAGTTAGAGTCGGATAGTTCCTTGAGGAATAACGGTGATTTCAATGGAAAGAGCCATTCTTGGGATAATCGCATTCCTAGGTGTGTTCGTCCGCACACTGATTTCTTTTCTATTCCTTCTTTATTGAGCCTTTTTACGGATAACTTGTATATGGCGGCTGATCCCCGTTGTATACAAGGGATGAAAGGTCTCTCTTACTTCCTCTCCGGGAACTCTGCCCAGAACGAAATACCGCAGGTATAAATTGGCATTTTATCTGTTCACTGCATGGGGTCTTTCCCTGTGTAGTTGTTTTGTACCGTTTCTCTTCTTTATGTTTATGGCAAAATAATGGTAAACAAAGTTGAAGGTTCCGTCAAGTTGTTTTTTCTTTTATTAAACCCATACCTAATTATGACTTTTTCACAATTTTGACTTACTATGACTTTTTTTTCTCAATGGCGACCTACCAATAATGATTTCCGTAAGGACGAGTGATACACGTTAGATATCAGACAAAAAAAAAAAAGAAAAAAAAAAAACTTGACAACCGCTTTCAACTTTCTTTTTTTCTTCCTTCTGCCTATCTTTTCTATCCGTATCTATCTTACCCAGTTTTTTAAGATTAACCAAAAAAAAAATATACACTTCGTATATTATTTTTCATTTTTTTGAAGGAGGGCAGTGTAACATTGCAAATGTAACTTCCTTTTTTTAATATAAATAATTTTAAATTTTATATAATTATTCATATGGCGGCATCTATTGCCGGCTGAATCTTACCGGTCAAGCCTTCGAGAGGACATAGGCGCTTTCTTTTATACTATCTTGATCTGTTCGACTTGGTGCTTCGTTACTCTTTCACCTCGTTAATAGTTTTCGAACGTAGTAATTTTTACATAGCTGAAGGTCGACAGGTTGACAGTTTTTTCATTCAAGACTGTCATGTGAAAGCTATTTATTCTCGAAGAGAAAATTGAGGGATTTCGCATACTCCATAAACGGAGCACCCTGTATATTCAAAATCATTTCAACGAATGCATATTAGAGTATCAAACAACTTTGTAATTTAATTTTTTTACTTGTATCACCCTCTAAGGAGATATCGTCCGATATCGCGCTAAGTGGACACCCTGTATATGTGCATAAAGCACATTGAAATTGAAAAATAAAATGAAAGCAAAATTATTGTATTATAATCATTTTTTATCAAGGTACAATAATTTGGTTAAAAACAATTTATCGTATTATTATTGTAGTTGGTACCCATTTGAGCTAGGAAGGAAATATGCTTACAATCTAACCTATCCAAGCAAGGGGTCTGCAATGCGATGATTCAAACAAAACCCCACTTGGGTGATACTGAACTCAGTTTTCACATAATATTAGAGATTAGATATTTCCTTACTATTTTATCTTCAATGAACCCTTGTTTTTCTGTTATATTAACTTAGCCTGTGTTATTGTATTCAACGATACCACGTTTGGTTCAAATCAAATAAGCACCCAGTAATTTCATTTCATCATTCCACACTTAAGCTATGAATCGTAATTCTGGTATATCTGCTATTTCCTCTAGTGACAATACTTGATTAATTCTACTACCAAATATTCATATTTTATACGAGCGTAACTTCTATACAATACAAATACGGAGATTTCCCCTCATACCTCCGTAATAGATGTTTGCACATCAAAATGAGGTGCCTATTAGAATATCCGTGCATGTTGAAGATTTGAAAAAAAAAATCTTAAAAAGAAACTCTATTTTTATGGAGAACTTTTTTTTACTGTAATAACTTGAATTGCACGCATATATCATAAGTAGCTTGTTTCAGCGTTGAATAATAAAAAGTCTCCACTCTCACTTGCTTTCAGATCCATTATATATAGGACTGTTTTTACTTCCATAACATACTTTCATATTGGCTGTAGTGTTTTCCGCCGAGCATAATAAATATCTTTCCTCGCACATTTGAAGTTCCTTATACGGTGAGAGCATTGGTGTATTTTTCTGAATGCCGTCCCCTTTATTTTCTGTGTTTTTTCTCGTCACCTCGCTTTCTGCTTTTTTGGGCCGATTTAATCAGTATTTTCCATCGCAGAACATTTGCGGTTTGCGTGAATGGTTTCTATTAGAACAAGTTAACACTCGAACAGATCGCCGATGGCTTTAAGTACCTACCTATATGTTTTCTGGCCGAAAATCGCATGTCTCACCGGTAATCGAATGTCTCATTAGTGTACTGATTTCCATTAGCGACCGCATAGACGGTCGTATAGTGACGCCAGCTGAACGGCTAAAAACATCTTGATTGTTCCACATTATAAAAACCAGAAAATCTTTGTGTTCACCTCCCCGACAACCTAATGATGCTTCTTTCTTATTTCTCTACTTCCTAGCCCAAAAATAGCAAAAAGTAATACCTGCAGGGGGCTAATTACCTTAGGCCCACCTATAACCTGCCCTGCATGTGGGAAAGTTAACGAAGAGGTTGGTAGTCCACATCTCACAAAGGCCTACGGAACACCAGCCATGAAAGTAGTCATAATAAACTCTGTAGTGAGGAAGCATAAAGGCGGCTACCTCAAAGCATCTAACCCCTAGTTAGAGCGGCCAAATTTCCAAGTCTTAGAGTATCGTAGTTTTTATGCCTTGATACATTGCAGTCAAATCTAACAATTCTGCTTATTGTGAATCAGAAAAAAAATTGACATTGAGAGTTGACAATTCACTCTGTCAGCAATAAATTGTGTATCGTATATTTAAGTGTTGTTTTGTTTCAGAGCAACGTTGTTACTAGTTCCTTTATTAGGACTAAACTTTTTGCTAACTCCATTCAGACCCCAGGGAGGATCTCAATGGGAATACGTTTATGATATTGTATCAGCTGTAACGACTTCTTTGCAGGTAAGTCATACTAAAAATATATTAAAAAAGTTAATTGACTTGAGCAGCTTTACTGCTTCAAGCTTAACTTCGACTTTTAACTGAGTTACCTTCGTATTTTTTAAAAAGTTTCAAATAATACGTCCGTTTAACATGGTTTAACTAAGGCAAGAAAAGTTTTAAATTACATTCTTGGAGATTATTTCTTATTTCCTTGTAGCGGGTCTCGTTAGTTAGTACGTCGAAGGAAAACTCTGTTCGTACAGGATACTAAATATACGAAGTTGCTGAGCGGAAGGAAAAGAATCAACATTTATGGCTCTCGTTTACATATTTGATATCGGGAATAATATTGTATAAAAAAAAATTGTAGATTCGAAATAAACATAAAATTCTAGAAACCCATCAAAATTTCATCTTTTATTCAAATGGCATTGATTAAAGGAAACGTTTGACGTTAAAAAGCCAGAAGCCATGAAAATTCTCTGCAACAGCTAATTGAAGGACAGAACAAATAAAAAAAATAAAATATTTGATCCTTCATAAAAATCATTCCATTGTAACACATTACTTTTTTCACTAAATAATATATAGGTATTTTTTAACTGAAATCGAAATAAATCTTGATTTATCTACACCCTGCTAATTTCAATTTTGACGTTGATTGATTAATAAAAGAAAAGTACACTCACGAAAATATTTTGCGGCAAAGCTAGGAAAAGTTTTTTGATGAGTAATTGACAGTGATAATTTGATTTAACGTTGTGAATTTCAAAATCCAACTTGCACAACGACATTACAATGCAAGTAGCGTTACTCAGAAACGAGCATTTTGCTTTCGTGCGGAAAGCCATTCTCTTTTTAAATGTGTCTTTGAACTTGAATTGCATTTAAAATTTTCGAAGTGAGATTTTATTTATCCTGATAAGGAATTTGCTATGCAAAGTAAAATATATTTGTCAGGTTTAAACGGGCGGTTTGTTCAAATAAAATTAATCAAGAGAATTATTACACCAACGTTTTTGAATACATCCCCAAGTATCTAGGATCTATATGACAAGTAAGGTTGATATACACAAACGTACGTGCCAAAACCTCATCGAGATTTCACCCTAGTACTCTAGCATGATTTAACGATAAAATATATCGGTCCAAGGCACCAGGCGTAGTTCTGAAATGAGCTCAAATTCAATAGAGATTACCTGTCCAGGGTACAGGGCGAAATTCCTATTGCAGGAAAAAATTTGCACGTCCAGCGTACCGGGCGACAATATTTTGAAGCTATCTATGTATTCAAATTTTGAACTACTTTACCCATTGATACGACGCCCCACACAGTGAGAACTGTACAGATGCGAGATACATAGGTATGAGGAATCTAATAAGCATCAACATCCACGATGGAGTATAATGGCGGAGCGCCACAGGTACTGCCACATATTGATTCTTACATGGACAACATTGTAAAACTATTAGGAAAATTCTTCTGCAACTTGACACTGAAAAATCTTGTGGTCTCGAGGGCCTTCCAAATTGTCCTCAAAACTTGCGCACAAGAATTGGCTTCAGTTCTTTGCAAACTATGTTCACTCTCAGAATGCAGCCCATCCCGAAAAAGGGCAAGAGAACTTCCTAGCAATTATCGTCCCATCTGCTGGCGTACGTCATATTTGTAACTCAGTTCTCGATAAACATGTCAAATCCAGAATTGTAGCATTGGACATCTCCAAGGATTTTGATCAGGTATAGCTGAAAGGCTTCCTCGGCAAACTCCTATCGTATGGTCTTCCGAGCGAATTTTGCTATTAGCTGGGGAGCTTTTTGGTATGCAGGTCATTGCATGTTGTGGTCGATGATGCGTCCTCTGATACACTGCCTATAACGGCGGCGTTCCCCAAGGATCAATTTTGTTCCCAACACTGTTTCTAATTTTTAGAAATGATTTGCTAAATGTGACAAGAAACTCCATATAAAGCTTTGCGGACGATAGTACCTTGATGACATTTTTCTCTTCTGACAAACCGCTTACTGCCGCCACTTTGACACGCCTCGCACGAGAACAGATTCACTCTATCAATCTAGTCAAATTCAATGTTTCCAAAACTCAAGCAAGTATTCTCAAATAAGAAATCTTCCGCTAATGATAACTCAGCTTTAAGGATTAGGTTTTTTGTTTCGTGCAAAAAACTTCTTCAATTCTGAACAACTTCTTTTTCTTTGTAAGGCTCAAATTATACCATGTATGGAATACTGTTCCAGCAGTCGTTGGCTCGATTAGATGACACAAAATAGCAATAAAAATGACAAAAAATACATAAACGCAAGGTGGCCGAGTTGTCATGGGAGCTGTTCTGCCGATTTGATCAGCCTCATTCCAGCTAGGAGAAGTTATTTAAGAACTACAATAACCTCACAGGCATCGCATCCGTGTTAATATTGGCTACCCCGAGGTTCTCTTAATATCGGGCTCCTTTTTGGTGACTTCGGAGAGTAATACCTGGCTAGGCTTCCAGGCGAAAATCTCCCTTACAGAACACCCGTCCAGGGTACCCTGCAAGATCCGTGTAGAATACTTGTCCAAGGTACCCGGCGAAGCTCTATAAAAATGGATGGGATGTACGTTTGCTAGCGAGGTCACGCCTTAGATATAAAATAGTATATTCTTCAACGAGCATATATTTAATGATAGCTATTATTCACGACAATTAAAATTCAAACACAAGCCGTAGGCGAGTGTTTGAATCATTCGAGTGAATAGTAGCTATTATTTGTGAGTAGAAAACTATAATCTCTCTTCGAACTTTTTGAAAGAAAATCATTAGTTTTTGTAAGAAATAACAATCATCAAAAGTATTATTTTTTTTTAAACGAAAGTTTCGATTTCTGACAGTAAACGTCAGTCATGTTTTGGTTGTATTGTCTCGTTGTGACCCGTGTATTTCGAAAATACGGAGAATTTGATTGGTCGATGGGCCGTGGATTCCGGTTTGGAATCCACGGGGCGTGTAGAATCATCAATCAGTTTAATTTCGAGCAAGAATGAATATATTATTTAATGTTCGAAGAGAAATAAATTTACACAATTATTCCTAAAATAATTTCAATAAAAGCCGCGACACGAAACGAAAATAGTGTAACTTGTTTTTTTTTTTAACTTTCTTCAATATTCCACAACGCTGTCCGCCATCTTCGTACTATTCCTACAAGTTCTTAAATATTTAAAAGACGAATTTCCTCATTTAACGACTTTCTCTTTAGCCGGGTTTCATCGTCTCCGTTGTACGCTGTCATTTACTTTATAGTCTCCAAATTTATGACCGTCAGAGTGCGGCTGGGTTGGAAATTAACATATTTGGACTGGATGCCTTATATAATCAGTATCGAACTTCAGGTAAATTATTTTGATCGGTAAATTAAATTGCGGCATCTAGTCCAAAGATGTTAGTAATTATTTAACCATATAGAGATGCTTATAAAATTATATGCCTTGAGATGGCCGTTTCATCTTTATTATAGTTCCCGTGTGACCGCCAAAATAGAAACAATGGGAGGGAAAATATTAACTTTTTCATTCTTCCAGGATAAATTGAACGAATCACAAGCAGAAGCATCATATGAGTCCATGCCACTTTAAACAAATTATACCCGAATCCTAGCTCAGTCTATATTTGTGGTAGCAAAAACCATTCAGTTTCAAATTGCAATGCTCTGCATTCTACATCAGCCCTCTAGTTGTCTTTCGTGTTGATGTATGACGCAAATATCCATAAATTGCGTTGCTCACACTATTAACATATCTGCTTTGTGAGATAATGTTTATGTACACTGCCAATCCGATTGCTACAGACTAGCGCAATCGTATTATCCCATCTTAGGACGTTGCAAAGTTGTGAATGTTTTGCAATTCATTAACCGAAAAATATGGCTTGTATTTCTGAAAAAAAAATATAGACCACTTTCTTTTCCGCGACATACACCTCAACATGATGAAAAGAAAAAATCTGAAAAATATTCTATTTCCGTTGAATTTAATTTTGTGTTGTTGCTCCTATATTATTCAACCATCTCAATCAAATCACAAAGTGCAACTTCTTGGCAGTGTGACGAATATATAATATATTTTCCATATAGAAAATTTATGTACCTACAGGCATTAAGTGCAATTTAATGCAGTTTTCTCATTCTTTGAAGTCCCACAGAGCGCAAAGCGCAACTACACCTATTGCATATTTTAGCTGTGTCTGAAAGCGATACAGCCTCATAGTATGAGAAAAATACAGTGGATTGTATGTAGGTACACTAAGGCCAATTTATGAACTTGCCGTCAGGATTACGTTTCCGTTTGCGTCGGGCTCGCTGTTACCATTTAAATATAAGGAATTCTAAACGATCGTTTATATTCTTTGTTGGCGTCACCGTAGGACGTCAGGCCTGCCGTTTCATTCCGTTAGACATAAACCAATTTAGTGGAAAACCAATCAAAACGGGCTTTTACCTGTCACGTGATGTTTACGTCAGGTCATTGTGGTGGGAAGCAACTGATTATTGATTATTTTGAATATCCGGAATTTTTGGAAAAACTTACAAAACAAAAAAGCACGATACCACAAAAAACTTTTGAAAAAATACACAAATATTGAAAAAGAAAACAAAAATAACAGGTTAGGTTAGGTTATGTTTACTTTCTTAGGATGCAAACGTCAAGTTTATAAACGCACGATTTTTTTTTGACTACGAACGGCGAGGATACCGGCGAGCCCGACGCAAACGCAGACGAAATCCTAACGTTAGGTTTATAAATTGGACTTACGTCTGTACTGTAAATGTTCTATATAGGAAAAAAAAACTCAACCACAAGAGGTATCCTCAGCTAACCTATGCTCGAAAGGTCTGCTGTTGGATCGATGAAGGCGGTATGGAAAGCTCTATTCCCGTCCAGAAAGGAGCCCAACATCACCTGCTTATTTTCTAGTTTGGCCTCTTCGTTGCTGATCAGCTTGTCGAGCGCGGTCTGTATTGACATCCCTGTCCGATACCGATATGCATATCGATCGGTATAGTTGGCTATTCACCAATCTACCATCATTTATATGCCTATCCATAGGTTTTTCTAGTGCCTTTAACTCGGAGGACAAAATGCTAAATGGGTGTTAGGAGGGACCTTGTCACTTGTCATACTGTCCTATTTTCCCAGGCTTTATTACGGATATTTACCTAATATGTCTACAAGTCTTTGTTGTTGTGAATTATAGTAACTTAAGGCCTTTAAACCCGTTTTGTTATTAAATCAACAAGAGGCCCAAAATATGCTCAGTTTGCTCAGCGAATAATTATTAGGGGTGGGCTGATGGTTTAATTTATTAAGTACAGAATGGCAGGGGCGCCACTGAATTAAAAAAAAATAAAAAATTATAGAAAATATTGGGGTGTGAAAGTTCAAAAACACACCTAAAAAAACATAATCAGCTTTTGGTAATTCTGAAAAGGAAATAAATGCG